TCCAAAGAGCAAGCCCCGGGAACTGGCTTGAGAAGACCAGCAGTGAGTCCCAGGGCAGCTCTGAAAGCACCTGGCAGAGCTCCTCTGTTCCTGTGTGCACAAAGCTCCAAAGGAGCAGGGTGTGTGCGGTGTCCCCGGAATTCTCAGCCATTTTTTATAGCACCCGATAGCCTCCTTAGGGCGTGACATTCCCTTGTGATCTCACCTGGTGCTGCTTTCCTGTTGCCGGCCCCATTATTGCCAGGTGTGCCTTTGGCTGACGCTTTGTTGGTGGCAGTTTCTGGGAAGCAAACCGAGCCCTTGTTGGCCGGTGCCCAAGCTGGGCAAAGCCGGGGCAGCTCTGCTGCCGTCAGCTGTGCAAGGGGCTGCCTTTCACTCCTGGCCGTGCACCCTCCCAGCCTCCTGGCCCGCGTCCAATCCAGATAAGAAATGCCTGAAAATTGTTGCTGTTAGCCAGCTATTCTGTGACCTGCATGAAAAGAGTGGAATGACCTCAGGACTAGTCTCGGCACACAGCCGTCTGCCCACAGGCCTCGGTGCTCAGACCAAAGGCTGGCAGGACAAGTATGTTCCTGGTGGCTGCTCCTCTCGGATGGTCAGGGAGGCAGCAACAAGCTGATTCGCAGGATCTCCCTCGCTGCCTGCTGTCCGTAACGAGATCTTTATGAGGTGTTAATGTAAATTGAATTGTTTTACATTGAAACCAACCGTGGGCTGTTTTCTGCACGATGGTCTGTAGCAAAGAGGGTATTTACTGGTGATATCTTGTGCTGTTAGGAACCCTTTTCCCTTAGACTCTTATCTCCAAATGCTCTCTTTTCTGTGGTGTTGGGCTCTGCTCAAGCCACTTTCCCTGCAAGGAGGACCAGCAATGCCATGGGGATGCTGCAGGGCATCCTCCTGCCTGCTTCCTAGGTCTCCCTGTGGTGTACAAGCCTTCAAACAGGCTGCACAGGCCCTTCCTCCAAAATTATTTTCAGTAGTCTGTGGAGAAATCTGGAAGGAGTGTAGCCATGGAACCGAAGCTGAGGTTGCCCATGACGGACAACATCATCATTTAAACATCACCAGGCCGCAATGCATGGGACTATTTTTACCATGTACTGGGCTTTAAGTGCTTTGGGTAACAAGAAAAGCTTTAGTCTGAGCAACAAAAAAATGCCAAGGAGGGGACCATGGTTGAAAATGGAAGGGTTCTTTCTGCCTGGGGATGGGGGCAGCTAATCTTGACACGATCCTGCAACTTGTTTCTGCTTTGTTAGCCATGTCTGTGGCTGTGAAGTCCTGCTTGGGAAAACGGGAACCCATGGGTGGACGGAGATGTGAGAGGTTTACACAAGTGTGCTTTGCATCTGCACATTGACAAGCTCTGTATGCCCCCTGGATTCCCCAGCCTTTTTTTTTCTCTTAACTCTCAGAATTCCTCAGCATATCTTCTTCTGCCTGAATCCGACTACATGACTTTCCTGCAGCCCTGTACCTTAGGGCTGGGTTTTTGTCTTGCTGGGAGCTGGGGTTTCCATTTTAAGCACTGAGTTTCTAGTTGTACATCTAAAGAGAAATGATGTTCTCATCAGAGGCATTCCCCATCCCGGCCACAAGCGTTTCCTGTAGCAGTTTAGGAGGCACCGAGGCTTTCTGGAATCCCTCGGGGGGCTCCTGGTTGATGGCAGCTAACCCAGACACTGAGAGTCCCGTCAGCAAGTGTAGCTGGCTCCTCCAAGCAGGGGAAGTACCTGGCTGAGAGACAGGTCTGCTGTTACTCTGGCTGCTGACAGGTGACTCTCATGGTCTGAGGGCTTTCATCTCCAAGTCTTTGAACTGGCAAGTATTTTGCATAAATGGAGCAGAGTTCTAAGTGTGAGTTTTTAGGGTCAGAAGACTTCTCAAGGAGGTCCAAGCAGTCTTCAGGTGGTGCTGAAGATGAGTGAGCGAGGCTGGCTGAAGGTACCTGCTGCAACTGCCACAGAACCTCCCTTGCATCCTCCCTAATGCTTCCTTTGGAGGGCACAATGGTTCAGTGCCCTTCTCTGGTGTAGCAGAGCTCTCTTCAGCAGGTTGATCTGAGAATCTGCTAGTGACTTGTCACCACGACCATGGCTGGGGAAAGGCATCCCTCTGTCCATCCGGTGTTTCTAAAACCCACATACATCCTTTTTTTTGCACCTTCTTCCCCCTCAATTTTGGAAGACTCATGACCACTGTGGGGTTTTTAGAATAAAATTGTACCTTCCTGATTTCCCTGTAGCTCTGACTGAGGCACTGACTGGCAGCATTAAGGTAACTTGTGATGCTGACTAAGCTCTTTTCCCCCTGATATTAGTATTGCTTAAGTGAAAATTGCTTACAGCTGATTTCTTGCCAATAGAGTTACAGCTGATACTGCTTCAAAGTTGCTGCAATGGTATCTTCGGTGATCAGATGAACATGGTAACAATGCTGGGAGTTACTGGACTGAGAGCCAAATACTGCTTTTGGAAATACTAAAATGATAAAATGATCAGTGCACCTAAGGAAGGAAAACATACACCCTGCCCAGCAGTAGTAACATGCTTTAAACAATTGCATTCTGCAATAATGGGACACTTGTGCAGACCAATGCAGCAGTCCCAATTTCTAAATTGCTTGAAAAGGTGACATTATGTTGGTTGGGCTGAGAATAAATATGTAAGATTCTGTATGAGTTTATGTTTGGCTAATTTTCTAGAGGTCATCTGTGAGGATGAAGCCCTCAAACTCTCTCTGGGGCAAGGAACCATGTTACTCCTTCATTCCACCAGCCCAGCCCTCCCTGCTGCTGCTGAGCACAGCCCACATCAGCCCACAGCTCTTGCCCCTACCTGGGGTACTGCTGAAGAGCCACAAAGGGTATAAAACCTTTGCAAGACATTTTTTAAGCACTTGATTTCTCTGTATCTTTCAAAGGGACGGTTTATTAGAGCAACTTTTATTAGGGAATGAACTTGAGGCACAGTAACTATTGCTCTTGATTGCAGGCTACTAAATGCTGCTTGCTCTTAGAGCCTTCATTTTCCCATGGCTTGTTTTGGAGGTTTTTGTTTCTTCTTCAAATGGAATCATGTATGTGGAATACTCTTACAGATCTGGATTACAGAGCATCCACTGCAATTAGTGAATCTGGAATTGCTGAGTGACACTCCTGAAAAATTTTACCTTCACAGTAATAAGGCAGCAGAGATTACACAGAGGGTCCCTGTAAAGTAGGTCAATTTTAATAACCATTTCTGCTTTGTGTTCGTTCAGCATATTCTACAGGCCAGCCCATTTTGCTCCATTCAACTCCTAACATTCACTAGAGCTCTCTAAGGGAATTCACAGTCTCTGCCATAGTTTTTCATGCCATCAGCCCTGTGTTTTATTTCACAGCATTCTTACCCACAGTTTTTACCTCTGGCTCACCTGCCCTGAAGCAGGTCTTCAGTATGAGCCCAAAAGTAATGGACAGAGCTTATGAGTCTGCCTATAATTTCCAAGGAGTGATTCACATTTGCTTATTGCCTTTAGATAAAGACTCTGTACACGCAGCTCAGGCTAGAGTAGGACAAGGTGGGACACTGCGGTTATGGGTGGTTTTTAAAGGACAACACTTCTCAGAGGTGCTGCTTCCCTGAATAAAGGCACCCCAACCTTCCTCCTGAGAGGACAGGAGGACAAACAAACTGCTGCTGCCAGGACAAACAAACTTCAGATACCCACTTCCTCTTTACCTTCCCATGAGTCTCCCAGCATCCCAGGCAGGGAGAACACAGCCTCCTGCAGCTGCACTTTCTGCATGTTCAGGACAGGGGTTAGCAGCACCGAACCTGCCTTGTCTCCTACGCACATCTGCAGCTCCCCACATCTTCCCGGCAGGACCTGCTCCAAGAGCTGAATTTATACAACTTGAATGGGGGAAAAAAGTAAACCTGGAGATTATGCTATGCTGCTCCTTATTCCTTTCGGCACGTGGAGAACTGCCTCTCTGCTGTACTGCTCCTTACTCCCCTCTCCCACCCCTTCAGGCCATGGTTAAGTCACCTTGGGCAATTCTGGCAAATACACACATACATCTTACAGTCCTGAAGCCATTTATAAATAGATTTTTATTTATAAAGTCCATTTACATAAAATATTATACTCTCTTAAAAACTGCATATGTACAACATACGAAACCCTAGCAAGTGCATACAAAAATGCCTTCAATACATTTTTTTAAAAAAACTTCAGTTTTCAGAGAGGTGAACCTTCACACAGGCAAACTCAGACATCACGTTAAAACACAAGTTTACAGTATTTTACCAAAGTGTTTGGAGAGAATAATAATTAAAAAAAAAAAAAACCAAACAAGTACTTTTGCATCTATAACATGTATGTTCCCACAACATTCCAGCTGGTAGTGTTCAAGAACAAGTGGAGAGGACCTGCTAAAAATAGAACCATGTCATCCCTTTTCTCTAAGGTTTGTTGTACAAAAATAAGTCTTCATACACCAATGTCCCTATAGGCAGTTCAAGTTACATATAAAATAGAATCTGACATGATAAAAAATTCCCTCCCCCTACAGAAATAAAGAAGTATCAAGTGTTTCTAATGTCTTTTTTTTTTCCTTTTCCACCCCTCCAAAGCAACACCAGACAGCAGCGGCGGGGGAAAGCAGCTTCGCTCGGGCATCCTCTCCGTGGGTCGGCACTCCGGCGGGCAGGCGGAGCCGCTGTCCCCGCGCAAGGAGCGGGACCCCGCAGTCAGCTACCCCATTGCACTTTCCACAGCCAGAAGACGACGGCTGAACCCGGCGAGAAGAGCAGCCAGCGGGGCCACGCCGGGCTGGAGGTCAGTACCTTCGAGGGATGCCTCCACCGCCGGGACCGCGGGTGCCGATGCGCTGCGGGCTGAGCGGAGAGACGTGAGGAGAGGCGCGGTGGGTTCGTGCCCCGCTCCCCCGGGCGCCGGGGCAGCAAGCGGCGCCCCGTCCCCTGCGCAGCCCCTCACCTCCCGCCGTGTCAGTAGCTGCCCAGCCAGCTGGTGAAGTCGAGCAGCTCCCGCTCCTCGGGGCTCAGCGCCACGTCGTAGCCGCTCTCCTCGGAGGAGCACGGCGAGCCGGGCGCGGAGGAGGCGAAGGAGGGCGAAGCGGAGGAGTAGCCGCCGCCGCCGCCAACTTCTCCGACGGGCACCCGCCCGCGGCCGTCGGGGAAAGAGGCGGCGGCGTCGTGCTCGTCGAGGAGCCGCTGCAGGGCGCGGATGTACTCGACGGCGGAGCGGAGGGTCTCCACCTTGCTCATCTTCTTGCTGGCCGCGCCGTGGGGGACGTGCTGGCGGAGGGCGGCGAAGCCCAGGTTGACGAGCCGCACGCGGTTGCGCTCCCGCTCGTTCCGACGGGCCACGGCGGCCGCCGCCGCCGCCCCGGTGCCCGGCAGGGCGGCGAAGGCCAGGCGGCGCTTGCAGCGCAGCAGCTCGGGGGAGGCGGGCCGCCGGCGGCCGCGGGCTGCGGCGGGGGGCAGCGGCGGCAGAGCCCCGCCGTTCATCGCCGGGCGGCCACGGTGGCGGCGGGCGGAAAAAAACCCAAAAACAACAAAACCCAACAAAAACCAAACCAACAACCAAAAGTTTAAAACTAAAAAAAAAAAAAAAAAAATCAAAAAATCTCAAAACTAGATTTAAAGCGAGGCAAAGGAGGCGGGGGTGGGCAGCGCGGGGCAGTTCACCCCCATGCCCGTGCTCTCCCGCCGCCGCTCCGCGCCTCTGCGGCGAGTCCCGCTGCCGGCCGGCCCCTTATCAACGCGCCGCCGCCGCCGCTCGCGGGCCCCCGCCGGCCGCACGCGCCGCGCACGCCGCGCCACGCGCGCCCGCCGCCGCCGCGCCCCCGCCCGCGCCCTCCCCCGCGCGCGCACCCGCCCCCGCGCGCGCCCGGCGCGTGGCGACGCCGGCAGCCGGCAGCCGCCCCCCGCCCCCCACAAACACCCCCCCACACACACACACCGCCGTCCGCGGCCCCGCTGCAACCCTCCCCTCAAATCACCGCCCCTGCTCGGGCAGTTTTTTTACATTTTATTTTAATTTAGTTTTTATTATTACTCGGGGGTGGGGCCGCACTCTCGCCCCGCCTCCCCCGCACCTCACGGCGGGCGCTCGGGAGCAGCCGGGGCTCCCCGCTGGCCCAGGTGAGGCGGAGGCCCGGGTCCGGTCCCTTCAGGGTGCCCGCAGGCCCCCCCCCTGCCCAGGCCGGTACCCCGCGGTGCCGGTGTGCGGATGGCGGCGGCCCGGCAGCCCCGCTGCTCCCAGGGCTGGCTTTCCCTGCGGAGCGCAGAGTGCCGCGCCTGGCCGCCGGTCGGTGCTTGCCTGACAGACACACGGGACACACCGGGGCTCTGCTTTGGTACATCCACAAAAATGTACAGTAACGAAGATTTATAGTAATGGCGTGGGTCCTCTTACCAACGCCGTTCTCCACAGACCGGCTTTTTGGGCTTCAATGGGAGTTTCAAGGATAAAGGCACGGGGGCAAGAAGGAAAATGCGAAGTTTTTGTAGCTCGGGGGTTGCAGTCCGGCTTCCCTCTGCCATGCTGGGCAATCCTCCTTGGCTCTCCACCAAGAAAGCCTTTCTTCCAGCTCTGGTGGGAAGAGCAGGAGGGTGAGGTGCGTTCTGATAGCTGGGAGAACAAAGGAGCGTCCCCTTGGAGTCCTGGGAGCTCGTGGGAAGAAATAACTTGCATAGTGTTCTGCTAAATAAACGAGATGGATGGAGGGGGAGCTACATGAACCCACTGCCCTGGCGCTGTGTCCACTCTCACAGTTCAGGATGAGCTGTCCTTAGGGCTTTGCTCCCACTCAGCCTTAAAAAAAAAAATCCAACGGTGTGAGGCAGTTCAGTTACAGGGCTTCACTTTTTGGGGGGCGAACATAACCCAATGTCAGGAAAATGCTCCAAGCTGGTGTCTTTGGCACCAACTTGGTGGTGAGGATGTGTCATCACATGGACAGTGCCAGCAAGGCTCTGCAGCACGATTTGGATATCAAAGGGTCTGTATTCCCCTGGCTGCCCCGAACCACATTGCTGCTGGTGCTCAGGTGTATCTGAGCCAAAAATGGTAGTTCAAAAAGCCTATCCATGATTCCTTGATGTGACACAGAGGGGGCTTTTTTTTTTGTACCTGTGTGGGGTATTTGGGGAGCAGCAAGGCTCCACTATGTTGAAAGAGAAATATTTTCCCTGGGGATTGGTTGCAATGGCAGTGGCTTGAAGGAACCAGCCCCACTGCAGTGTCACAGGCAGCCGAGCTGAAATTCCTGACAGTAAGGATCCTGTGAGCACTTTGATTTTCTGGTAGTCAAACATGCAGGAGCCCTAGCACCCAAATCCAGCAGTTCCCGAGACATTCTTGGCTGTGCTGCAGACCTGGGGGCAAAGCAATAAGCAGCCCTACAGCTTCCCTGAAGGACTTGACCCAAGAGGAGCAGCTCATGGCACACAGTGCAGGCAGGAGCGTTTTTCCTGGTGGATTCCCATCCCAGCAGTGCAAGCCTGTGCCTTGTTGGGAGTGCACAGGTTGCTTGCTCAGCTCAGGCCATGTCATGCACTTGTCTGCAGCATCTGCAAAACTGCCCTGGCTGGAGCAAGGGGCTTCCCTTGTGCTTGCTGTCAGATGTAGCTTAGTCAGTAGGAGCATCATTTCAGTGGAGTAATACTGATGTTCTTTTATTACCTCATCTCTAATTTTCTGTTGAAAACCTTTCACACAGGAAAGGGGAAGCTGCTGCCCTTGAAACTTTTCAAGAGAAAGCCTTTTGTGTCGAGGTGCCACACTCAAGAGTAATAACTGGATTTTTATCATACAAAAATAGCTACAGGGAATTTTTTTCATTAGTAACGCACACCAGTACACCCAGTCTCAAGGGAGAGCAGGCAGCCTCCAGCCACAGAGATTCTACACTCAGCTCAGGGATGAGCTTAACTTGTCCAAATTGGCTTCAGGGCTGCTGATGTTTCCATCCAGATGTGGCCATCGGGTCTGGGCCTGAGCACAGCACACAGCGGGTGCTTACACTTTCCTAGCAGTGCAGCTGGCTTCCCAACAGTCTGCAGGAAGGTAGGTGGGTAGGTACATCTTGTACTCAGACAAATGCAATCTCCTTCGAAATCTCTTTATAAAGTTAATGACTATGTAAGGATCCCGTAGAACAAGACATCATTAAACACTGTCTGTGTTCACAATCAACTTCCTGATCATAATCTGGGGAGAGAGAGCATCCAGCAATGTGCTACCCATCCCCAGAGTCTGGGGAGAAGAAATTCTCCTCTCCTGGAGCAGGTGAGGCAAAAGTGGTAACTGCATGGTTGGTGTGGACACCTTTTAGCTCCATGTGGGTTCAGCCAGTGGGCTGCAAGGTGGCCAAATGATGCTCAGGGAAAAGGGGAAAGGGCCTCTACACTACATGTCAGTTCTTGCACCTGCCAAAGGTGAGAGCAAAGCACTGCCCCTGGCTTGGCACGTGTGTCAGCAGGAAGGCTGCAGGTGCGGTGCTGAGTCAGTCCTGGTGCCACGCATGCATTACAGCCAGCCAACATGAGATTTTTAGGGTATTTTACCAAAACTTTCAGGACTACAGTGGAAAGCAATGGAGGTCCAGTTGCAATAAAGCTTGAGAGGCTGAATGTGAGAAATAAAGGATGATGGGCAGTTAAGCAGCCCTGTTCTTGGTGAGCCTGTTTACCAGGCTGGGCTGTGCTCACACTGGTTCTGCCAGGAGCAGGGCTACATGGGGCAGGGCTCACATTGTGTCTTCACACACAGCTGGCTCCTGGGCAGTTATGGTGTGCAATTAGATAGCATGTGAAAAAGAAAAAATAATTTAACTTGAGTAGAGCACTGTGCTTTAGAGCTATGAGTATGGTTCTTTCACTTTCAGTGGAGAAAGAAGTTCATTTGAGTTTATTCTTTGAAGGGAGCTCCCTGCCTTCAGCTTATGCTCTTTTCCAATGTTATATTTCCCTGGCTTGATGAACTATTTTTAATAACTGTTCTGACATTTTATTTGTTCACCAATAATAATTTTAAATTGCCTGGGAATCACTAGAGGATTTCTGAGACACACTTTGAAAATAATAATAACTAAAGAAGTGCTTTGGAAATATTATGATTTCTCTCTGGTTTTGTGCCTTCCAATGAAGCCTCCAGCCAGCCCTGTTTCCATTCACAGTGGAGTTGTATGGTGCATCTGAAGCTTGGCAAAGCCCAGCATCCCCCCCCTTTCCTCCTCTCTTTCCTTTCTTGAAAGGAGATGGCCCCGGGTTTAAAAGTTGATTTTTAGCTTTGATTGTGTGTCTGTGCTATATGAATGCTAAGCAGCCTTTACAATGCATCCTTGTGATGTGCCGGGAAGGCAGGCGCAGGCTGTGAGGTCTGCCTGGCCTCCCAGCATCCCCACGGCTGCGCTGCGCTTTGATACGGACATGTTTATTTACGAGCCAGCTCTAGGATGAATCCAGCCGTGCTATGGGCAGTAGCTGAGGGACCAAATGGGCTGAGCCACTGACACTTGTAAATCTGACACATTTGGAGCTGCTTTCTGCTGTGGAGGAGAGGTATTTTTCCCAGTGGTGCTGTGGGCTGGAAAAAGAGGAGGCTTCTGAGAGGCGGCAGAGACCTGCACAGGTGTGTCCTGCCTGGATGATGGGTGTAGTTTTGGCTCCTGGGTGAAATCCTCCTTCTTGCTTCCAGCCCATCCTTTCTCAGGAGCATGAGTAGCAGTGCCCCAAAGCCAAGGGGGAAGTTTCTCTTCCCTGCTGCATTGACAGAGTTCAAGCAGCTGAGGCTGGGGTGCTGCTGTTCCATCACTGGTGGCTGCACTGATGGAACGAGAGCCGGAAAAGTGGATGTCAAGAAAGCATCAGGATGAATTCAGCTTCTTCTTCTCCATTTGTGTTTAGTGTCCCAAGTTCACCCCATGCAGCATTAACGCATCAAATCCCCCAGCACTTTCAGAACATCTCTCTGACAGGGCGGGCATCATTTCCCTCCAGCTTAGAAGAGGGTTGGGGGTTTATAGCTGTGCAAAAAAATATGATCTGGCTTTGTTCCCTTTTTAAAATCAACCCTTCCCTTCTGGATGAGATGGCACATCCCTCTGAGACCCATGCAGCTGTGGATGAGGTTTTTTGTAACAGAAGTCTGCAAGCTGCCACAAGGTTAGAAAGAGAGCACCTGTGCTCCCTGGGGTATTTTCAGACTCACTAGCATCTTTCCATGCTCCAGCTGATAACCAGAGATAAGGGAGGAGGCCACAGGCAGGAGCTGTGGTCACCTGTGTTTTTTGCACCGCTTTTGGGAGTGATAAGTTGGGCTTTTGCAAAGGGAATCAATCAATGAAACCTGCCAGGGTGGGCAGGAGGCCGAGTCTTGCTGGAAAAGCCATGCTGCCATCCAGCCCGCATGCTGGCTGTGAGAGTGATTCCCTGGCATGCCACCAGCCTGCCTCTCTTCCCACTGGAATGAGGTTGAAGGGACACCCTGCTTCTCACCTCTC